CCTGCAGTGACGTTTCAGTGAGGTTCATGTACTCAAAATGCCAGAGTGAAGACTGAATCCATGGCCTTGTTTATCACAGCGCTGAGATTCTAGAACACTAAAAACTGCAAAACACCATGCAATAAAAGCACAGCTCAGATTTTGTAACTCAGCGTCTTAATTATGGGTGATAGCCACATCTTTAATTCTTGCAGTACAGAAAAAGGAGGAGTTCAGATAGTCATTTCTGAAGAAGAGTCCACACCTGAGACGTCAGCTTTCCTGCTCCTCTGATGCTGCCTGGCCTGCTGTGTTCCTCCAGCTCTGCACCTTGTTATCTCAGACTCCAGCATCGGCAGTTCCTACTATCTCTGAGTTCAGATAGTCAATGTTTTGGCTCCTAAAGCCTGGCCATGAGAAATACCAACTACCCTGCAAGGGGTGCCCCAGTACTCTCTCTTAACTATGGCATACTAATTGTAATCTACAATATTGGGCATCTCTGAGCCTGTGGTGTACTGCAATAAGCCTCCAATAAGAAAGGAGGCTCTACAATAACAGTTAAACTAAGCAGAGAATGGACATCTTGAATCAAAACCAGAAAGTGCTGGAAATATTTGGCTGCTCCGGTGACACTTGTGGAGAGAGAGTTAACGTTTCAATTTCAATACGACAGCCCTCTCAGGTAAGACCCCCATGACAGTACAGACTAAGACTGCACTAGATTTTGGAACATAGCAGTTCAAAAGAAAATCAGAATGTCTCAATTTAAATTGGAAACTCTAATCCAGTGGATTTGGAGAGATCAGGGAAACTAACCAATAGGATTGCACAGCAGATTAGGTCAAAGACCATACCACTGCTGATTTACTTCTCAAGCACTGGATATAAAACCAGTTTTGAATAAAGGCAAAATACTGCAGATGCTGGAAATCTGAAAGAAACAAGGAGTGTGCTAGAGAAACTTGCCAGGTCTGGCAGCATCTCTGGACAGAGAACCTGAGTTGACGGTTTGGGATCTGGTGTGAAGGACATTAGTGAACCAGATGGGCTTTTCCAACAATTAGCAATGGATTCATGGTCATCATTAGAGTCTTAATTCCAGACATTTATTGAATTCAAATTCCACCATCTGCCATGGCAGGATTCGAACCCAGGGCCCCAGAACATTATCTGGATCTCTGGATTAACAGTCCAATGATCATACCACTAGGCCATCGCCTCCCCAATGCCAAGCCTCTGAGAATTCCCTGGTTGTCCTCTGTTTGGCCTGTCCTATGATAATAGTGTTGTCCCAGTTGAAAGTGTGGTTTTCCTCGTCTGTGTGTATTGAAACCAAGGACATCTGGTTGTGTCATTTAGTTGTTAGCTGTTTGTGGATGCAGGTTGCTAGTTGTTCTGCCTGTTTGTCCCACACAGTGTTTTGTGCAGTCTCCGCATGGTATCTTGTAGACCACATTCATCCTGTCCATGGTATCTATTGGGTCTGTATCCAAGGTAACCATCTCCTTGTCTTGCCTTCATATCTCTCCAAACTGAAATAAACCCAACAGGGAATGGGTCTGCAATCGGGATGAGAATCTACGGTTTAAAAGGTTTTGTGCTAAGTTACCCAGGTGCAGAGGTTTCCATACTGGGGAAAGAGGGTTCAAACAAAGGATCTGGCCATCACATAAAAGGTGAGCCATAGAATGGTATGACCAGCCACTGCTAGTGCAGTGGAACATCATAAATAATCCGCAATCCGAGAAGTAAGTAAAATATATCAGTATGTCAAATTCAAGCAAGCGAAACCACAGGCTTTGCACAGAGAACAGATCTAACCACACAGCATACAAGATGCAGCACATGAGCAGCTGTTGCACGCATCTTCATGAAATCATAGAATCCCTACAGTGTGGGAGCAGGCCATTCAGCCCATCAAGTTCACACCAGTCCTCCGAAGACCACTCCACACAGATCCACTTCCTATCCCTGTAACCTTCCGTTTACCATGGCCTATCCACCTAGCCTAAACATTCCTGGACAGTATGGGAAATTGAACGTGACCAATCCACTCTAACCTGCACAGTTTTGGACTGTGGGAGGAAACCCACGCAGACACGGGGAGAATGTGCAAACTCCGCACAGACAGTCACCCAAGGGAGGGATAAGAACCTGGATCCCTGGTGCTGTGAGGCAGCGGTGCTAACCACTGAGCCACTGTGTAACAGAATGTATCCAGATATTCTGTATTTATAACAGAGTGCCTCAAACTTTCTTAACTTGAGAGTTGGTAACGGCCTATTCTGTCCAGCAGCACATGGGATAAACTTTAATCTTGGTAAAGATTTGTCCAACAGACCTGCTGCCTCATTAATGCAACATTTGAAGGACATGGCTGATTGGGCTTCATCGATACATTAGCACTTTATCCTTACTATTCATTCTAATTATCTTTAAATATTTAATGATAAGGATTAATGTTCTGCTGAGGAAGGCTGTACACGAAAATCAGGACAGTAATGAGGATATTAACTGAAACACCTCAGGAAGATTTCCTTTGAGCCAGGTATTGCTGAAGCACGGGTGCAGTATATTAAAATCCTGTGAAGTTGGAGAATGTCTCTTTTGATCACCAGTTTAAACCTTACACTCCAGTCTGCCCTTGGAATTTCACAGTTGTGTAGAATCTATACCACACTCATGGGCTGAAGTTGACCTTTAACACCCAAATCAACATAATCACCAGTGCTTTGCTTAAACTGATGGGAGAGAAAAAGGTTCATAAAGAACTGCAAACGAATGCCCTACCCAGCACACCCATTACAAGCACCATTACCAATACCCACATGCCTTAATCTTCCCCTATTTTGTGAAAGGGGCTGCTTGGTGGCTCAGTGGTTAGCACTGTTGCCTCTCAGCACCTGGGTTCAATTCCAGCCTCAGATGACTGACTGTGTGGAGTTTGTACATTCTCCCCGTGTCTGCGTAGGTTTCCTCTGGGTGCTCCGGTTTCCTCCCACAGTCCAAAGATGTGCAGGTTAGGGTGGATTGGCCATGCTAAATTGCTCATAGTGTCCAGGGATGTGTAGGTTAGGTGGATTAGCCATTGCACGAGGGTAAAAAGGGCGAGTGTGAGTGGGATGCTCTGTGGAGAGTCAGTGTGGACTTGGGCTGAGTGGGCGGTGTATAGGATTGGCCGAAGGGTTAAACTTGTTGATGACTTTCGACAGCTACCTGACCTTGAATGAGTCCTGTGAACATTCCTGTACGTGCCGAAGACAGCACAATCAATATGTTTTTCTGTGCCTTGCTGTTTGCGACACTGTGTAAGACAGAGAGTATCATTCCAAATCAGGATACCTCGGACTGGGATTGCAAACGGTGCCAGGAACAACCTTAGCCTCTAGACCAGCTGTCGATCGAGGGGTCCCCGATGGGCAGGAGGGTGTGAGGCTTATCATTTTGTTTCTCTCCTTTTCATTCTTTTTGTTTACTTAATAAATGTTCCTTTCTTTTTTCATCTTTTTACTCAATAAATGTTGGTACTTAAGCAAACTGCTGCTCTCGAGCCTTCTCTTAACTACATTTAACCAAATCCATAAAGAACTGCTTGGATGCACTCTGTTTCCACACTATAGGGATTCCATAATACAAAAATTATTTTAACTCTATAAACATGATAAACAAGATGAGATTTAACCTATCCTGTCTCTCAGAAATGACATGCAATAAATCCCGTGCCAGTGTGAAGAAAGTTGCTATGTTTCTCTACATTCCACACACTAGTGAAATCACAGAAGTAACAGGGCACTTGGCCAGCTCATCTGCTCTGTCTGACATTGCTTGAGGAAGCATTGTTTATCTAACCTGTGAGAAACTCCTATCCTCCCTTAAATACTCATTCAGTTAACATCCGAACGTAAAGTCACCATTGTTCTACCAGATGAGAGAAGGGAGGACTGGTGGTGGTTTAACCTGAGAATCACCAGACCTCAGGTGCAGGGAGGGGTTGAGAAGGAGGCTCCTCTATGGTAACCTCATCTGCTGCGGGAACCGAACCTATGCTATTGATATTATTCTGCCATAAACCAGATGTCTAGGCAACCACGTGAGGTGGTGGTGGAGAGGTTGGGAGGTGATGAAATGATGGGAGTGCAGTTGGAGGGTCGGGGTTTGTGGTAGAGGATTGGGGTTTGTGGTAGAGGTTTGGGGTATGGTAGAGGGGTGGGGATGTGGTGGAGGGTAGAAAGGTGGTTGGGGGCAACAGTGGAGGGGTAGGGCACGGTGAGGTAGGGGTGTGGTGGAGCAGTAGGTGGGGTGGTCAAGGGGTTGGGTGTGGTGGAATGTTGGAGGGGTGGGGTACTGCCAGACCAAGTGCACTGATTGGTCCTGGATGATGTCAATCATCTTGCATAACACATGATATCTCTGAGCTACTCAAACAATTTAATAGTTTCAGATCGAAAATTTAATACCCACCTGGGTTAGGTCTTTAGTTGCTACAGGAGGAGTTAAAATCATTTGTTTGGAATGAGTAAGGCGATACAAGCACGTGGGTCTTGTTGCACAGTGGTAGTGTCTCTATCACTGGGCCAGTAGATCTGGGTTTGAGTCTCACCTGCCCAGAGGTGTGTCACTACATATCCAAACAGATTGATTAAAATAACTACACCGACCAAATCAACTGAGATTTGCGCTCCTGAAGCAGAGTTTGCAGCCCCTTGAACAATAAATCGATAACTTACCAATTATTACCAAAAGTATTAGAATAAAATAAAACCCTCAATTCTCCTCATGTTCAGTTCAAGATATTACCACCAGGGACACTGCCGCATTATGGGTTACACAGGGTGTTGTACTGCTGCCACCACTGGCAGGATGTCATAATTACAGTGTGACAAATTTACAATGAGAGTTTACATTGCAAGGAGGACATGCTATTGGAAGTATAGGAAATAATCCTCATCCAATATGCCTTTCCGTGCCTTCTGAATATCAAGTGCAATTGTGGAGATATACAGAAAACTGCTACTCACTGGAGGGGAGTTCTCGTAAATGTTTGTGCTGTAAGGAAGATTTACAAATATAGGATCCATATCCTGGATATCAGTAATGGTGATTGCGAGGTTAGCCAGTGTAGAGAGAGGATGGTCTTTGTCTTGATCCTGAAACAAATAGAATAAATCTACATGTAAATGAAATAATGTCCACATTGTCTTTTATTGTATTATTTCTTCATTTGTAATTATGCAATTTATTTTATAAATATTGACAGACAAGAACATGCATTTGTCTAGCACAACCTTTTTGTGTCTGCAATGTCTCTAATGAATTGCCCTTCAGGTGCGGTGAGCTGTCAGTCTGGATTATAACAGTACAGAAGATCCCAAAACAGCAACGGGATGGGCAGTCAAGTAATCATTTCATTGATGTTATTTAGGGGAGAGAATTTGCCCAGGACACCCTGAACCCACTCTGTACAACTTTGGTCCCCATATTTAAGAAAGGATGTACTGGCATTGGAAGTAGTTCAAAAGAGATTCACGACTCTCCTGCGATGAAAGGGGTTGACTTATTAAGAACGGCTAAATAGGTCAGGTGCTGAATAATTCAAGAAAGTGATAGATTTTGAGAGGCTGATGGTATCAAGCAGCATGGACAGAGAGTGGAAGTGTGATGTTGACATAGAAGATTAGCCTTGATCAGATTGAACGGTGGAGTGGACTCAATGGGCAGAAAGGCTGACTCCTGCTCTTAATTTCTAAGTTTCTACGTCTATATCCCTCTATGTATATAGATGCAAGTCTAATTCTATACATCAATGGTATCAATCCATTCTCATTTGGTTTCTACCTTACATTAACCTAGTTACAAGTGACACTTACATTCTCAGACTATCAGAAAACATTTAGTAATGTTCCTTTTAAGCAAAGTTTGCATATTGTTCAAGAAAAGGCACTGGCATGTGATGTAAACAAGTTGATAGTATGCTCAAACAGACCTTAAAGGGTGAGCTGTGTTTCTTTGAGAGATAACACTGGTCTAGTGTGTGATGGACAGCAGAAAAATAATTCGTAAGGAACCTCTCAACCTCATTTCACATGTAAGGTTAATCCTTACTGGCTGACCTACCTTTCAATTAAAAGATACTTATGAGGGCTTGTGATAAGCAACTGATCTCAGTGAAAGTTATTGGTCACTGAACCAACTCGTAGAAACTGACTTAATGGGATTGAATTTGGTCTGTTTAATTTTTGCAATTTTCATTTCACTGAATTCAGTCACTGGGAATCAGTCACAGCTTAGACTCGCAACTCAGGTCTTCAGACCTGAAGCTCCCTACATTTGCAGGCTGTATTTCACTGAGCCCCGGGAGTAAAAAGATGCTGTGACAGGTTTTGTACATAGCTGGGAAATTTCATCTATGTGGTTGGCTGTGTTTAATCGCAATTCTACACTACATTGCAGCCCACATTAACCCCTAACCCAACCCTAACTCAACATGATCACGCTGAAATTTTAGCAGGCAGAACCTGAGCTGAGAGTACACAGAAGAAGCTGCCATTATTTGGAACAGGATTGATCGCTCCCTCCCGCATCGTACAGGAAAATGGTCGAGGTTACACTGGGGGATTACTGGGGTGCAAGCCCCCCATTGCTCTGTCACTCTCAGTCTCAGCTTTGAGCCCAGAGATTGACGTCTCAAGACCCATTCCAGAAACATAAGGATAAATCTCAGCTGACATTCCCTCAATATTCCCGTTGTAGTACCAAGGGAATGCCACACTGTCACCTTTCAAATAAGATGTTAAACCTGCTTATGGGTTATTTTGAACAGCGAGTCCCATTGTCTCTGGTGTCTCTTCAGCAGTCTTTTTTGAAATTTGTCCACAGGATGAGGGCATCGCTGGGTAGGCCAGCATTTATTGCCTGTCCCTAATTGCCCAGAGGGTAGTTAATAGTCAAGCACATTGCTGTGGGTCTGGAGTCACATAGAGACCAGACCAGATCAGGATGGCAGTAAGGACACAGGTGAGGCAGGTGGGTTTTTCCTGACAATTGACAATGGATTCATGGTTATTAAAGACTCTTATTGCTAGATTATTATTGAATTCAAATTCCACCAGCACGTTGGAATTTGAATCCAGGTGTGCAGAACATTTTCTGGGGTCTCTGGATTAATAGTCTAACGACAAAACCATGAGGCCATTGATCTTTCTATTGATACCTGGAGATTACTGGGTGACTATCAGATTGAACCATAGAATCCCTACCGTGTGGAAAGAGGCCATTCACCCCATTGAGTCCACATTGACCCTTTGAAGAACAGCCCACCCAGACCTGCCCGCTACCTATTCCTGTAACCCTGCATTTCCCGTGCCTAATCCCGGCACTCTATGGACAATTTAGCGTAGCCAATCCATCTAATCTGCATATTTTTGGACTGTGAGAGGAAACTGCAGCATCCGGAAGAAACTCACACAGACACGGGGAGAATGTGCAAACTCCACACAGACAGTCGCCCACGTAACTGAACCTGGGTCCCTGGTGCTGTGAGGCAGCAGTGCTAACCACTGAGCCACCGTGCTGTCCTAGGAGTTTCTTGTGCAGAAATTGGTTGCCACATTTCCTACCTTGATATCATACTTCAAAATATTTTATTAGTTGTAAAAAGGTTTTAGATGCCCAGAGGTCATGAAAGGTGCTGAGTAAATGCAAATTTATTTTACTCTCTGGAAGTCAGAGGACAAATTTAGCCATTATAAATGAACATCTCAAATTCATCGAGTCAAACAGAATATTTTGTCTCTGGTGACAGAAGTCATTAGTGACTGCTAATTATTTTTTAGTAAATGAATAATAGATGTCACTAACTGTGGGCTTATTTGTCACTACCTCTGATTAATATGTTCACATTGGCAAAGAGCAAAAACAAATCACCTGTCAGCTCTTTCTGGTGCAAAGGCAGCAAATACGCTCCCATTAAACTTAAAAAAAATTCTGATTAGTTTATGTAAAACTTATCCTATTGATTTTCCTCAGATGTTGTTCGTAATTTACCATATTTGATTTCCTCACACCAGATGCTCCCTACCTATCTCTTTTTGCATTGAATCAATGAAATAGCCATCAACTATCAGGCTCATTCTCTCGATGGCTCTCTCTAAATCTCTGCCACTTACTAAATCGCTACCTCTTCAAAGCTCTTTCTAAATCTTTCAACATATCTTTTGTGTTTTCCAAAGCTGCTGTTCCATGTCCATTTGTTCTCTGAGCCAGTTGTGGCTCAGTGTGGGGAGGGCACTCTAGCTTGGAGTCAGATGGTTGTAGACTCAAGGCCTACTCCAGGGACCAGTGCACGTAACACAGTCTGAAACTGCCCAATTCTTACAGAATCATAAATTCCTTACAGTGTGGAAAAAGGCCATTCGGCCCTGACCCTCTGAAAAGCATCCCACCCAGACCCAACTCCTACCCTATCCCTGTAACCCTGCATTAACTGCGGCTAACCCACCCAGCCTGCACATCCCTGGGCACTACAGGGTAATTTAGCATGGCCGATCCACCCTAACCTGCACAGCTTTGGACTGTGGGAGGAAACTGGGGCACCCAAAGGAAACCCACACAAGGAGAATGTGCAAACTTCTGCCAGGACCCAATCACAGATTCAGTATGAGCCCATCTGCTTCACGCATGTTCTTCAGGGAAGGAAATCTGCTGTCCTTACCTGGCCTGGCCTACATATGACTTCAGACCCACAGCAATATGGTTCACTCTTCACTGTTCTCTGGGCAATGAGAAATGGACAATAAATACAGGCTCAGACGGCAACACCCAAATCTCATGAACGAATAGTATTAGAAAAAGCAGGAGATCAAGTCAACCTTCTCCTTCTCCAGGGCAGTGCACACTGACATTCGGACATACTCCTATCATATAGAATACAGAAGTATAATCAGGTTCATACCGTTCCATTGACTTGGAGCTGATAGGCTTGGGTAGTCTCATAATCCAGTGGTCTGTGAACAGTTACAACTCCCCGGGCACCATCAATGGAGAAGAACCGCGATGGAGGTTGGAAGGAATACAGCACACTGCCACCTGTGCCCTGGTCCCGGTCTGTAGCATTTACAATGAAAATCGGTGTCCCCGTGGGGGTGTTCTGGTAATGTGGAGGGCAACGAGAGAAGGAAAGGTACCAAAATTAGATGGATAGGATGACAACAACACATTCAAAGAAGAGTTACATGTATTCTGCACATTGAGTTCACATTCTGATTATATTCAATTCAAACAAAAAGGAGCATCTCAACAGCAAATGGTGTTCCTTCCACATTCCAGTCTAAGAAAGTAAGAAAGTGGACATCTGAGGCTGTGAATCTGTTCATTATTCAATAAGATCACAGCTGATCTTTGCCCTCAAATCCAGCTTCCCTGTACGTCTCAACTACCTTGGCATTCGACCTTAGTCTTGTACATCTCTAGCTGTCTAGAATGGAGAAGTCTCAAAAATACACAAACTTTTGAGTGAACACATTTTCTCTCATGTCAGTCTCAATGGTGACCTTTCACTCAGACTCGGGGAAACATCCTCCCAGCATTTACCCTGGTGAGCCCTTGGAAAAATGCTACATTTCTCAATTAGATCACCTCTCATTCATCCAAATTCCAGGCTGTAAAAGGTCGAACTTACTCTGTTTTACTCACAGGAGAGCACCCTTCATCTCAGTAATCAATCTGGTGACCCTTCCCTCAACCTCGGGTGGGAATGTGAATATTCTAAGAATGTGAACACACTGGAAAGGATGTTGAAAAGTTTCAAAAGAACAGTTTTGGGGATGAGAAACTGGCTGTGTGGATTATTTGGAGAAGTTGGTAAAGTTCTCCTTGGAGCAGAAAATGTTGAGTGAAGGTCCGATAGAGGTGTTCAAAATCATTAAGGATCTGGACAGAGCAGATGGGGAGAAACTGTTCTCATTTACAGAAGGCCCAAAAACTAGAGGACATCAACTTAGGGCGACGAGTGAAAGAGCCAGCAGTAAGAATTTCTTTTAAGCAGTTAGTTGTGATGCACTGCCTGAAAAAGAATGATCGAAGCAGGGCCGGAAATGCTCAGAAGTCCAGTGGATAAATATTAAGAGGACAAAGGTTTGGAGGACTATGGGAAAGAACAGGAAAGTGGGATTAAATTGATAGCTCTTTCCAGGTAAAGTGGGTCAGATAGCTCCCTTCTATTAAGCTGTGCATACTCCAGAGGTCTGATTGAGTTAAACAACCTCTAAAGCCGTCAGGTTGAATCTGCAAAGGGAATATCAGTACATTTGGAAATGGATGTTAAACTGCAAGGAACCTTAGTGAAAAATCCAATCAATTTACACTGAAACATGGCAAGATCTAAAACAGCAGTTATCAAGTGCCAAAAGCAATGAGTGATATTAAAGCTCAGAAGAGAGATGCCTTTAGATCTTTCAAGCAGTGGTGTTGCATATCGATTTTCTAAAATCCCTTACAGATTTCAGTTTAATTACAGGATTGTTTAGTAAATCAATTGCACATAAATCATCCAGGGTTCCATTTTTTTTCTTGCTTCATTATTAATTTGACCCTTACTATGTAACATCAGTTTCGCCACTTTGACTGTAAGTGTTTTTCAGACACTAAATAAAAGTCAGCAATAAAAGCAGTACATTGTGTCAGGAAGACAGAAAGGAATATAATGTGTCTTTTGACAAAGCAAAGTACTAGGGCTAACTAGGCTCACTAACTAAAAAGGCTACAAAGGCTAACTGGAACATCAGAAACATGTACATTAAAGCAATGTGCGTACAATGTATGTTCCATACTTGGGAGTTGACCACCATACATACTTTGGAATGTTGAGTAGTTAAGACACAGAAATTACGTAGTTTTATAAAATTCTCTCCAGTATGGAAGCAGACCATTTGGCTCATGGAGTCCACACCAACCCTCCAAACAGAATCCCACATAGACTCACCACCTACCCTATCCCTATAACACTGCATTTTCCATGGTTAATCCATCTAGCCTGCACATCCCTGGACACTATGGGCAATTTAGCATGGCCTATCCACCCTAATCTGCAGTCTATGGGAGGAAACTGGAGCACCTGGACACATAGTGAGAACGTGCAAACTCCACAAAGACAGTCACCTGAGGGTGGAATTGAACCCAGGTCCCTGGTGCTATGAGGCAGCAGTGCTAACCACCGTGCCATCCCACAATTCTCCCCTACACAATTTTATAGTTCTGTGCTGCACTGATTTTTCTTTATCCCGACTATCTAAAATAGTCAAGATAAAATATTTATTCTCTGTTTAAATCTCTGGTTATCTGTGCTCAGGTTTCTATTTTCGGTCATAGTTTTTTGACAAAACCAGTTTGGTTTCACTCATTGCGGTGCCCTGTCCCATGAGTAACTGAACACTAATGAATATAGAAACCCCATCAGCCACCAGCCTGTATGCAAAAATGAGGACTTTAGTGTGCAGTCACATGCAGACAGTGCTGGGAGATAAAACTGAGTGTGTGGGGATGAGCTGAAGATTAGGAGATGAAGTTTAAGAGTTTAATAGAACAGAAGGTTATTAAAGAAAAATCCATTTTCTCAGATCAAGCAATCAATTTAAAGGTCAACTGTAAGGAGAAGGGAAAGAGAGAGTGTAGAATGCAGAGTAGAGAACAGAGATAAATCTCAAAATAAGAGAATGTAGGGAGTCTGGACAATATAAACAGCAGTGACAAGCAATTTACAGCAGGACTGAATTCTGCTCAAAAGCGAACATGGATGGTAAGACAGGAAGAACACAGAAAATGGGAAGCAAATATATTTTGGCTATTTCTGACTATGACTTACAGCATTAATTTTCTGCATTTGCTTCCTAGTGTTACATTCAACAACCAGAACTCCACTGTTTAAATTTTGAAAAAAAAATCCATCTCTGACCCATTTCTTTACACCTAAACAGCAATTAAATGTTCGATTCAATTGTGAGATGGGAGGAAAGCCATTTTTCTCAATGATAACCAGTACGCAAATTAAACCACATCACAAGCCAGTGCTGAGTATTCCAATATTCGCTTTTGGGAATTGCTAGGTTATGGGAAGCAAGAAAAGTGACATTCCCCAGAAAGTGAGGAACTTGAAATTCAAGGGAAGAGAAGGGCCAATGTATTCTTCTCAAATATTTATCCCTCAACCAACGTTCAACAGAAACAGAGGATTTGCTGTATACACATCAGCTGCCATATCTCCTACATTACATTAGAGACCAACAATAAGATTTATTTTGACTTATTTATTTATGGTCACGTGTTTCAAAATACAGTGAAAAGTGTTGTATAGCGTCGCCACTCCCTGGCTCCATCTTAACACACAGAGAAAGAAACCAAAACATAGAATGTAAAGGCAAAAAGATGAAAAAATAAAGAAAAAGTGTTCAACTTTACAGTCCTTCTAGTTAAGCGATGGACCATGGGCCTGGTGGCCAGGCACGAGTCCCTTCCCCGCGCTGCCGCTGGAACGGAAGTCACTTCTCTTCGGCGCCATCTCTCCTCCGCTGACACCCTCGCCCTCATGAGCCCTCATGGACCTTGCCAACACAGACACTACCGATGCCACCAGGTACTGCACCAGGCCCAAACTCGATTCTGCTGCCACGAGTCTGCTTTGGGCCCACCTCGCCAACGCAGCTGCTGCAGCTGGCTCTCATACCGCGCCCAAATTCACCTCCACCTCCACGAATCTCCTGCTGGACGCAGAAGCTGCCGGGAACCCAAACCCGCCTCTGAATCTACCGCCGGGTCTGTGCTGCTGTGCCTACTCGCTGCTGCGAATGGATGCCGTTGCCACGACTGAGTTCTTCCCAAGAGGTAAGTAAAAAAAAAAGAGAAAAATAAATGAGAAACGAAAAGAAACCTGGATGGAGTGGACGAGCGCCAGGCTCAGAAGCCCTACTCCCCTGCTATCTTACTGGAAGTTGTGCATCATTGACTGAGGGATCCAACTTGTTCCATTGTATGAGTCACAAAATGTTAGTATGCAGGTACAGCAAGTAAGAAGGTTAATGGAATGCTATCATCTTGAAATCTGTTTTGGTTTCCTCACTCAAGGAAGAATGTGAATACTTTGGAAGCAGTGCAGATTGATCACTGGAATGAGTAGGTTGCCTTATGAGGATCAGTTGGATTGTTTTGATCAGCTGGCTTCCTCTGGAGATCTGCAAAGTGGTGCACTCATTGAAAAGTACCAGATCCTGACAGGCGGATGTTTCTTCGTGTGGGTGAGCCCAGAAAGTAGGGAGCTCTGTTTTAACATTAGGACTCCCCTTTTAGACAGCGATGCAAAGAAATTGTCCTTCTGCAACTTATGTAGTTTTGTAAGGATCTGTCTCGGAAGGTGTTGGAGCTGGGGGTCAATGAATATTTTTAAAGGTGGAGGTTAGTAGATTCTTGTTAGGTGCGGGATCAAAGGTGATTGAGGATAAATGGGAATGTGGAAGTCAAAACATAAACAGATCAACTCTGACCTGATTGGATGGTGGAACAGGCTTGAGGGCTGAATGGCATACTTTGTTTGTATGAAAACTGCTCTGGACAACCAGAGGTCACAGAAGTTGCTACAGTAATGTAGCATTTTTTCTTTCTAAAGCAATATCTACCTAATTATTGCTGAAGCAAATATAGAGAACAACTGAAAAAAAAAATCAGCATTTAACTAAAACCCTTTCCTCAGTCTTTTTTTTTGCATCAATTTTGGGAAAAAGAAATTGCATTTTTGCTGCAAACAGAAAATTGTCTAGAAGTGTGGTAACAGACAGTGGACTGGGCAGTCTAACTTCTCAACAATGGACTCAAAAAAATCCATGAGGCCACAAAAAAAAAACATACAATCGATACAGCTGTGGACAAGGATATTAAATAGGAAAGGAGGCTGTGAGTTTGTTCATTCAAAAGGTAATTACCTCAGTTCTGCCCATTTTCAGAAAAAACATCAACACAATTACACTGCCTCTCCCTCAGTGCAGCTCTGCAAGAGTCTCTAGAGAGGTGTAAGCCTCCACTAGACATGGTGCTGAAGAAGGTGAGAAAACAAAATAGCCAGCAAAAATTTACTGTGTCTCACAGGAAGCAGAGTATGAAACA